CCCCAAAACCCCAAAACCCCAAAACCCCAAAACCCCTTTAAAAAATGTTGGAATTGAAGAACAGATTTGGTTATTCTGGATGAAGCTGTGGCTCAAGTGATGGCTCTTCTTCAGGCATGACTTGGCAGCGAGGGGAAAATGGAAGAGAGGTATCAGGGTTGGAAGGAAGAGCAGGAAGGGAGGAAATGGGAGATCGGACTTGGGGAAAGAGGTTGAGTCATTGAGATGCATACTATCAAGTGACTTTTTAGATTCATGAGACATATTTGGGCTTATGTGATTATGATGAGGTTTATTGGAATCAATATTTTGGTCAATGTCGTAATTAGACTCTTCTTTTACTGAAGATTTACTCATTCCGTTAGCTTCATTATATCTGATTGGATTCCATCATTCTGGAGCTTCTATCATTCTAAAATTTTGAAATTCTGGGGCCTGAATAAATAATGGAACCCTCGTTCTAGGAAGCGAAGCACAACAGGTTTTATAAATTAGAATAATCTCAAGTACATATTTAATTGCAACATGAGTCCCAGATGTAGTAGGCTGAATACCTTCAGCTAAGGCAATTTCATCATTTTCAATAGAATTAGAGTGATAATTTTGACCTTTATTGTTCCTCAGATCAGTTATAGAAATATCGAGAAATCTGTTAAATCCACCAGTTTCTTGTTGAGGTTGGAGCCCATCAAAATTTTTACTACAAATTGTACTAGATCGAGAATAAGTTGAAGTATTTGTTCTCAAATGTACATATTGCTGAAAACATATTCTGACACTTTTAATAGGAATGCTGCATTCATTATTAATATGTCACATAGCTCTTCAGACATCATTGTTTGAAACAACATTCTTTTCAAATTTTGTTTGAGCAATGCTGTTCCTTTTGATCAGAATCAACATCAAGCTTTAATTTTCATTTCATCTCTTGCTGATACATTCTCATGAACTAGGGGTGCTTTCTCTCTCATGATCAGAGTTTGCTTAAAATTCATGCCCTTTAATCTGGTTGAAGGATGAGATTTTAAGACAACCTTAATAGAGTATATTACAGAGGCCACTGCAGCATTCGGTCCCCCATAATACGTGCTAGAAGGACACTCAGGAAGGATTTTTATTGTAAAAGAAAAAGTATACTATCCTGGATTAGCAATTCCTTCGCCAAATTCGTATATCACATATACCCGATCGTGAACCTTAATGATGCTTACAATACATACTCTTCTTGGTATTCTCTCCATCACTGTCTTCCCTCATCTTGGCCTGACTCCACCTACATCTCTCATACCCTCTGACCTGTACAGCACAATTCAATAATTGTCCAATGCTATGGGGTTTTGGGGTTTTGGGGTTTTGGGGTTTTGGGG